GGCCAAGACCTAGTGTTTTTGCAGTATTTCGACACGCAAATGTATGACGTCACCATTTCAACCATCAATGAACGCATGGAACTAAAACAAAGCTTAATATAAAGGAAAAACTAGAGAAGTGACGGAATTACCTACAATGTCGGAATATACCGCGTTTACCCTATCACAAGTTTATGATTAGACTATTTCAGTTCAAACTAAAGTCCAGTCTTTAAAAAAAGAATGGAATTATAGAAAATTGGAAATGGAAGTTTATATTTCAAGATCAATAACGGCCCATAAATGGACAAAACATTTACTAGACGTAGACAATTGATATATATGTTCTTATTTTCTTAATGTATGTTCATATGTTAATAATAATAATAATATAATTATTATTATTAAGTAATAATATGTTTATATGTTAATTGATTAACTTAATTGCATAGTTTTTGAGTAAAAATTTGCCATTAATTTTGCAGAATGCCTAAAATAATAATTTTAATATATATGAACTCTATCAATGGAGTTACAATTGGAAAGCAAAATCTGTACAAAGCTTGAAATGGGAAGCAAGAAATAAAAATCAACTGTATCATACCATGCAATACAACATTGTTATATCTCTATGATTTAAAAAACAAGAAAGTGTCAGTCATGCTGTCAATCAAATGTCTCAGTTGTCTTTTTAAGGTCAACATACAAATCATACACAATTAATTATGCATAGCGGGAATTTTTTTAAAATGTCATAACTCATAAGTAAAAGTTTACAGCGTAAATATACCTAACTATGCTGTGAGGAATGTGAGCAAGTGCCAGTAGGTAAGCAAAAGCACCAACAACTCATTTGGGCAGCAGCTGCTTGTACTTGCAATTTTGGTGGCCTCAGATTACTTGCCATTAGTATATTGGGTTATTCATTTGAACTCATTCAAAGCTATGTTGTAGACCCAGACCAAAAGCAGGTTAACAGATTCATAAATTATTTCAGGATTTATATTGTCTCATGTGCAATTTTTTTTACTATTGATCCTAAATTATGTTAGATGATTTTTAATTAGTTTGATCTGTAGTCCATTGTATAATTGATTGCATTTTCTACTCATCAGAGATGTTATCAGAAGATCTGCTTGCTCAGCTGGAGCTGGTGATGACAGAGTTCTTCACTGACAACACAAGCAATGATAGAAAACGTGAGATTGAAGATCAGCTCAATGCTGTGTGGCTGCAGCCTGAAGCCTGGCGGCACTGCCTCTACTGTATCGGTCACACAGCCAATGAATATGTTGCCATGGCCTGCATCACTGCTCTTGAGGTCTTTCATTTTTTCCTCTTCCTCAATCTATTTGCAAAGTTCCAATTCCTGTTGAAAGAATTTTTTTTCTATACTATTGCACTTTCATGCTACATGGGGACATACCATAGTAATAGGTTTTCACCTTGTTATTCACCTTTATTCTAGCATGTGTGGATAATTCTTATTAGCTTTTTTTTCTTTTTTTGACACCTAATAGTTCATGGAATCCATTTCATTTCATGGAATAGTTCATGGAATCATTTGAGCTTCAATCATACATTAGTATAAATTCAATATATTAGTTAGGTAATATTTCCCTCCATTATTCAAGATTTTTCAATCAATTTTTCAGATTTGGTTCCATTTTCAATGGTAATTTTGTGCAGAACCTGATCAACCGTCAAGTGGGCTGTGCCCTTAGCTCTGCTCAGCTGACAGAGGTCCGTGAGAGCGTTCTGACCACCATACGGCAGAAGCATCACACACTACAGGCTTTTGTGCGGAACAAGCTTATCAAAGTTGTTGTTGATGTTGCCAGGGCCCAGTGGCCCTATGAATACCCCAACTTTATGGAGGACATCATGATGGTGAGTAGCCGTCTGGGGTTGCCAGGGCCACATGGCCAAAAGGTACCAAACCCAACTCGGGCAAACATATCATTATGGTAAGTTATCAGCTCAAGTTGATTATTAATTATTATTGCTGATGCTTATAATCTGCTGCTCTTAAGTGCATGGTCCAGTGGCTTTGTGAGTACACCATCTTCAGAGTATATGGTACCTTAACCTTAGTTGTTGCAAGGCCTAGTGCGTCCGTGAGTGCTCCCAACTCAGTAATTAGCTTGCTCAAAAGTTATGTTTTTTTACAATTTCATCTCTGTGCATTATGAAAATCAATGTGAAATTTTCCAAAGATCCAACCATGCATTATTAACTCAAACTTGTCATGAAATTTTAATCAAGATTTTATCCAGAAGCACTTTAACCATGATTGTATTCGGCACAAAAATCTTGAAGGAGATTTAGTATCAATGTAGTAAAAGTTCTATCAAGCTCTAAATGCTCAACACTCATAAGATTCAGGGATATGTTAGGGAACATGATAATGTGAGACAGACTCATTGTCTACTATATGGAGACATAGTAATAGATATTCACCTTAATATTCACCTTTATTTAGCATGTATGGATCTTTCTTATTAGCTTTATTTTCTTTTTTTTTGCCACCTAATTATTCATGGAATCCATTGTATACATTTTAGTTTCCATCATATTATTAGTAAAACATTGGGCAAGTGTATTTGTCTATTTTCTAAGTGTAAGGTACAAGCACTGTGCATGCTAGGAATATTCCCTACTTCTTAGGGAATTTCAATAAAAAGAAAGTTTGCTGTGTATTCATAAATTGACAATCGAAATAAAATTATCTTTAATTTCGCTGTATATATGGTACATGAATATAATGTTTGTTGTTGCAGCTTGGTCAGCAGTCGCAGGGAGAGGCTGGTAGCAGCGAGGTGCTGTGTCTGGTCGCCCTCCAGGTCGCCATGGAGGAGCTAGCCATACGCGAGCACCAGCTCATGCCGCACGCCAGGAAGCTGCAACTACGACAACAGCTGCACGTCCATGCACCCCACATGCTGGCTTACGTTACTGGTGCTTTTGTCTTGTCTTATTTTGATCACATTTGTTCAAATTTTAATGTTAGAAATCTGATTAGAGAAATTTTTTTAAAGAAATTTCATGCTTCCATCTGCTTATTTCTGCTGTAATCACAGGAGTTCTGGAGAAGCTGCTGCTCTGCAACACCAGCGACGGCAACCAGAGGAGGGGCACAACCACTCCCCCTCCTTCCCCTTCACATTCCCCTGCCAGCCCCGCATCCCCACCAGCGCTGATCTCATCCCCTGCTGCTCGTAAGTGCACCCAATGACCCAACCACTTCCCCGGAGGACACGCAAGTGTTCATAATTTTCTTGAGTTGTGTAAAAATTGATTGTATGAAGATAACTAAAATGTTGCAATTTGCATTATTATCTTCTGTAGACTATGATGTTGGTTAATTCTAGTGATGGGACCAAAATTTTTTAACCAACCGGATATTGCTTGTCCACTATTTATATTCAAACTATAATAATAATAATGCAATAAACAGTAAATAAAAACAGAAGGATGATAAATCTTGTGGATGAAGCTGTTGCCTTAACAACTTGGATGTTGCGGTGCTCTAAATTTGATGCTTAATCTTTTGGTGAGGATTTATGTTTGTATGTACTCTTTTTTTTATGAGTGTCATATTTTGTCTAAACGTTGCAGACGTTTCTCCTGGAGAATTGATCATAAAGTTAACATATTTGGTCATAGCAAGGCAGGCGTTTGTCATGGATAAATAATAAAGTTAACATATTTGGTCGTAACTGTGCCTACGTTGCTCATGTCGTCATTATTTGCAGGTCACTTAGACAGCGTGCTTAGGATGCTTGAGCAGCGATCATGCCAGCACTACGAGCCTCGCCCAGGCTGGCTGCACGTGAGTACCGCTATCACAATCACTGTGGCTATAACTGTTACTGTTACTATCACAATGACTGCGTCTCTCTCGATCTCTGCATCTATTACAATCACTGCTACTATCACAATCACTGCGTTCATGTTGCCATAAAATCATAGATTTTAGATTGACGTGCATTTATTGAACGCATGTCGTGAGGTTATATATAATTTCTTGAAGGTCCCTTGATTTATGGATTTGCATGATCTGCTTGTTCAGGAACAGCAGGTTTGCTATTCCTATACAACCCAAACCCTATTTCCATGCGCAGCGCCCAAAACATATATCATTTTCTTGCATGTCCATTTACTTAAGTCCCCTCAGGGGGGACTTCTAACGTGTGTCTGTGCTCGTTAGAAGTCCTATGGGATTTCGCGCTCCTAGGGGGATTGTTCCTGAGCGCCCACCGCTGAGCTCACGGTGTCTGACTGCAGGTCTCAGTTGTGGAGTTAAGTTATTATGTAGGTAGGATTCCTTACATTTCCCTTCTCTGTCTCTCTCGTGCGGGCGGCCGACGTCCCGGGTAAGCGACCTCTTGTTCGAGTGTCTGTTGCTTTATCATCTGTCCCTCCTTGTCACTTCGTCTCTTTGAGATGCTAACGCTGCTTCTTTCGAGCCAGCTTCAGCGGGCTGGAGAATTGAGACCTTCCGCCCCTTGTGGGTGATGATTAACTTGAGATCTTGAATAATTGAGACTTTCCGCCTTGCTGACGATGTTATATTATGACCTCCGGCGCGAAATAGCTCTATAGCTGAAGCGCTAGCAAACCATCATACTACTACTACTACTATTTACTTAAAAGTTTGTGGTCTGATATTCCGCTGCTCGTTCTTAGTAGCGTATTACATTTATGTGAAAGCTTGTTGCCGTAAGTACGTAAACTCTGAAGAATGAATGGGTCCAACAAGTACCTCACATATTTTTACATAAAGCATAAGCAGAGAGCGGACATTGCATTTATCCGCTTGCTTTTTGCCTGGCCAAATTTTGGATCAGCATGATTCATACAAGGGCAAAACTGCATCAGTATTTGAACTAATGCAAAGTCTCACTCATTTGTCTGAGTGTATGTTGTTGTGCCATGCAGGTCGCCGTGACGTGTCCCCCTCGTCTGGACGCTGCAGCAGACAACGTAGCGTACGCGGCACTGAACTGTCTGGCGCAGCTGCTGGCGTGGGTGCCGCTAGAGCTGCTAGCCCAGCACCACTGCAAGGCCCTCGATCTTGTCTTCACCTTCGCTGCCCTCGGTGGCCTGCAGGCGGTCAGCTTAATGCTCATTAATTGATGTTGTCAGCTGAACGCGTGCAATAGTCTCAAAGATTAGTCTAAATAAGTTGCAATGATTAGACAATTGGGCATCTTTGACGAAGTCCTATTAACGAAGGTATCCATATGACTTGGTTCCTCTCTTTGCCAGTATACTTTTACATGTGTGCTGTTGAGTCGCTGTGGCCCACTAAAGCTGTCGTTTGGCTCTCTAGCCTTGTGGTAGTTTGGAAATGCAGTAATTTACGCCGAAACAATAAGACCCAACATGCTTGTACCCAACATAGCAGGACTACTTGCTTCTTCGTCACCAATTTTTCTTCTTTATCATAACTAATTTCACTTGTCAAGACGACGAACCTGATCTTAACTGTAACATTATACGCCATAAGTTTGGCTTCATTTTCTATTTTAACTCAGTGCAGGCGCTTTTGCTTTTGTTTCAACCTTTAACTTTCAAAATTTTAGTTAGTAAAATATATTTACTAGTTGAGTGTTTCCCAATTGTTTTCTTCTTCTCTCCTGGTTTTAGCGTACATTGACATAAGATAAATGGATGTCTTAAAAGCACTGGCCCACTTTATTAAGACTGCCGTGTGTCGTGCCTTAAAAGCACTGGCCCACTTTATTAAGACTGCCGTGTGTCGTGCCTTAAAGGCACTGACCCACTTTATTAAGACTGCCGTGTGTCGTGTCTTAAAAGCACTGACCCACTTTATTAAGACTGCCGTGTGTCGTGCAGATGAACTCGAGCAGCAGCAACACGGTGAGCATCAGCGCGCTGTCGTGCGTCCAGGAGTTCCTGTCTCGCTCCTGCATCCCGCCCTCCGTCAACGCCCTCCTCCTGCACGTCCTGCACTCCTGCCAAGTGCTCGTGCACCACCTGCTGGGCTCCTCTGGTGCGTGCTGCACCTGATGCCAGGTGTATGGTGCGTGCTGCACCTGGTCCCTGGTGTATGGTGCGTGCTGCACCTGATGCCAGGTGTATGGTGCGTGCTGCACCTGATGCCAGGTGTATGGTGCGTGCTGCACCTGATGGCAGGTGTATGGTGCGTGCTGCACCTGATGCCAGGTGTATGGTGCGTGCTGCACCTGATGCCAGGTGTATGGTGCGTGCTGCACCTGATGGCAGGTGTATGGTGCGTGCTGCACCTGATGCCAGGTGTATGGTGTGTGTAGCGATGCTGTTGCCGAATGTCTGGCGTGTGTAGTAATGCTTAAAAAAATTACTGACATGTCTTGCTCATGGAATTATAATGATGACAATGATAACATTTTACTGAATCACTTCGGATAAATCATCAAATATCATCGTATAATTAAAACAGGACTCTAGCATGTCTCTTTCCCCTGGAAAAATTATATTACATTAATTACAATGATAACAGTAATCCTAAATCACTTCGAATAAATCATCTAATTTCCTCGTATAATTAAAAAAGGACTCTAGCATGTCTCTTTCCCCTGGAAAAATTATATGAGAAGGATAACATTAAACTTAATTATTTCGGATAAATCATCAAATCAAATGTCCTCGTATAATATCAATAACTAACCTTGCCTCCTACCAGCAGCCGAGGGTGTAGGGCTCGGCCAGGTCCCAGGGGCGTCTGCCAAGCAGCGCCTCGCCAGCCTGCACCCAACTTACCTCGACAAAGTTACTGAACTCGTCCGCATTTTCGTCTCCGTTTATTTGAGGAGGTTTGAGCAGCATCCGCAGTTCAGCGTTGAGGAGTTCCTTGCTCTCCTCTTCAGGTTGGTTGATTTATTTTACGATTGCTTGTTTCCTCCATTTTTTATTATTACCTGAACTGACACAATGTTGTAAAATAAATAATACTTGGCAATTCAAGCTTTATTCAAACAAATGTCCGGTTACCTGAAATAAGAAAAACTGACATTAAATACTAATCAACATAACAAATATAACAATAACAAACAATTAAACGGCAGATTTAAAGTCAGCGATGTACGTGGTAGAGAACTTACATTACATTACGGCGGTAGTTAGAACGTGTCAGCTCGACCGGTACATTGAGACTGATGCGGTATAGGTATTGAAGCCAGACCATCTAACATCAGATAGTCGTCTTATTATGAACTTTATTCATATAGAAATCAGGACTATATTACCACACACAATGATTGGGTGAAGTTTTTATTGTTGGTTTTGTTGAATACCTTCACTCGATCAATGATTGGGTGAAGTTTTTACTGTTGGTGCAGCACCACCAACTTACTGTTGGTGCAATCACTCACACAATGATTGGGTCATTGTACAAACATTGACTCTTCCCTCCCTAAAGAACAAGAGTGAGCAGACGTAGCACTGATAAGCCCTTTGCCTGGCACACAGATGCAAAAAGTGTTTCGTAATTTAGACAAAGTCTCCCTAATTTCTCTGATTTCGTAACCGACAATGTGTCACGTGTTCATTGTTTGTCTAAAATTTGCCTAATGACTTTTGTAAACGATGTTACTGAAGAAATTATGATCGTTTTGAAGTGATCGTTTAAAAGTTCTTCTTCTGATATTTCTTAATTAATATGACTGATAATTTAAGAAATAACTTTTTTTCTTGGTCTAGGTTTAGTTTCAGCCAGCCTTCCCTCGATGGCTACTTGGACTGCCTGGAGATCTGGTCTGCGCTGCTCGAGCACATTTCCTCAAAAGGTTAGACATAATAAGCTTCCAAAGTTTATTGCCTCACACCATATAATTCATACAAACTTTCCTGTGTCGTGTCTCTAAGTAATAACTTGGTTAAAACGTGACTTTTTTTCTGCGTTTCTTACCGATCAACTTGTTCAGGGCAATTTAATATTTCATTGCGATTGAATATATTCGGCCCAACATCCTTTGAGTTACATAATATATTTCTCCTTTGAGTCACATAATATATTTAAAAACTTCCGAAACAAACATATTTTGAATCATATTTCCGTTTGGAAATCTTTGGTACCAACATCTCCTGGATCACACGCTATATTCGATATTTTCACGTTGAGTTTATGTAAAACATTTTTAGCTATTCTTCCGTTGAGGTTGTATTGCTCGTGTAATATTTAATGATCTATTCAGCCATTGAGGTTGTATTTCTCCTGCAGGCGGTCACGAAGGTTCAGGAGTCGCGCCTCATCAGCTGGAGCGCTACTCCAGCGTGCTGGAGCTGCTGGCCCAGGGTGTTCTCCACAAAATACAACTCCGACACAATCAGGTTAATTCTTATATCTCATGCAGCTGATGGAGAACTTATTGTAATATACTTTCATAATTCAAATTTTTACTAAGTTACACTTGTAGCGAATGTAGGTATCATTTGTAACAATGTAGTCAGGCAGGGTTCAACTTCTTGTAGAGAAGTAGCGTTGAATTTCGTGCAGCTGGTGAAGAGATGAATTTTTGTGGACAGTTTGTGTTTAATCAAAACGTTTTTTAAATTGAACGGCTTGTGAAACGTTGTTACTCTTTGGTTCAGCAAATAATTTCCTGAAAAAGTTTGCTCATCCGCTATTTTTGAAGAGGCTTTAATCCGATTTTTACTGATAAATCAATTTGGCAAGCCATATGCCCCTATGTAAATTATGATTACCCTTTACCATATATTTTTTTTTAAATCCACAACTCTGTCCTGTAGAGTTTGTAAAAAAATGTGTCAACTCTGAAGTGCCGAATATTTAATCAAATCTGATGACTTTCGTACGGAGTTTGGAGAAAAACTATCAAACCTGTTGGCTGAGTTCGTAAAAAAATTGGGTTACACTGTCGCGCAGAGCATTTAAAAAAATCTAGCAACTCCTGTGTGTAATTTGTAAAAAATCAAGCCACTCTCGTGCGAAGTTTCTTTAAAAAAAGGACAAATTTGTTGCTCAAATCTTGTAAAAAGAAAATCCGACAACTCCGTTGTGTATAGTTCGAAAAAAAATCTGTTTGCTATTTGAAGAACGAGCTTTGGTTGGTTGCAGTGCGAGCTCGAGGAGCTGGACTACGACCTGCTGGAGGAAGCGGGACAGAGCGAGCCTGACGCCGCCGACTACTCTGATGCCTGGGAGGACCAGCAGCAGAGCTGGGGCTCTGGAGGCGGCGGTGTCGAGCATCTCACAGAGCAGTCAGAGTGTCAGAGCTACTTCAGTCATAACCTAGACCTTCTCGCCAGGCTGGCTGACATCATGCCTGATAAAATCATGGACATGCTCGTGCGTTAAGGCTACCGAAAACATCGTATTAATATTTTAATTTGGATAGTTTCATAGGTTACTTGTTAAAAAAAATAAGAAAAATTTGTAGCATTAAATTAATATAAAATGTTGGCCGTTTTTTCAAAGTTTCATGCATCGGTAGGTTTAAAGAAATACTGATACGAAAAATCATAGCGGCATCGACCTTGAATTTCGCACATTAGATTCAGGGCCAAGTTTAAAATCAATCAAATGATGTTATTTTTCATTGATCCCTGGATTACAAGTTTATACTGCCTTGAAATATCATGCCGGCACTGACTGTAATTAAAATATCATATTAGTGCTTGCAATATCATGCCGGCACCGACAGTGGTTGAAATATATTAGTGCTGCAGTATGATGCGGTCACCTAATTTAACGATGTTACTGCACGACTGTGACGCCAGGTGCCGGCATGGCAGGAGAACTGCGCTGTGTACCTCAGCGTCGAGTCAAGTCTTCATCTGGAGCGCGTCCACGAGCCTGGGGGAGCTTCCTCCCTCAGGATAAGGTAGATAACGTCCTCGTAGCTAACGTCCTGCAGTCATCTCATTTATTTATTTATTGAAGAAAAGTGGTTACCCCGATGGCTCGAGGAAAAGCTCCACATTGAATTAAAAAAAAATCTTTGACTGGTTCATTCCAATCTTTTCTCGGCAATTTGGAGACTATACAGGAATTAATGCCATAGATTTCTGTCAATCATGACTACTTATCGAGAATAAAATTCAAACAATTTCATGGTCAAGTTTTGCATGGATTATTATAGACATAATTTTTTACTTCTAAATATGGCTGCATTTTACGAGAAGGATTCAATAGCAATCGGTATCTAAGATTATTTGACGAGCTTCATTAATTAAATTTATTAAAAGTGGTGTGGTAACCGGCTATTAATCAGCACTTAAAGTCTGAGTCTTCCCAACCTTAAATAAGTCGTAATGAACAACAAGTTCTGAGTTAAAACCTTTGCCCCTAAGTTGATCGTTCTGCGTTCTGTTGTTCACTGAGTTCTCTTGTTCACTGAGTTCTCTTGTTCACTGAGTTCTCTTGTTCACTGAGTTCTCTTGTTCACTGAGTTCTCTTGTTCACTGAGTTCACATGTTCCTGCTATTAATATATTTTATGATGTCAGCGGCCAGTGGCCGTGTTCACTGAGTTCACTGACTTCACTGAGCTCAAATGTTCTTGTTATTAATATATTTGATGATGTCAGCGGCCAGTGGGGGGTGTCAGAGGAGGTGCTGCTGAGCGTGCACGTCGCCCTCCGTGACCTGTGCTCCCTCCTGCAGCTGCTGGGGCGCCTCGCCACCACCTTCCTGGGGGCACAGCTCGTGCCACGAGCCTCCACTGCTATGGCCACCATACACAGGTTGGGGGGAATGATGATCATTATTCTATTGTATTATTCATTATTTTTGTATGTTATTATTTTCTTATTAATTATTATAATCCAAGCCTCCACTGCCCTGGTCACCATACACAGGTTGGAGGGAATGCTCATCATTATTCTATTGTATGATTCATTATTGTTCTATGTAATTATTTTCATATTGATTATATTGGCGGAAATACATTGGCAGGCAGCCAATTAGACAGCCATTCCACTTAGAGCCTCCACTGCTATGGCCACCATACACAGGTTGGGGGATGATGATCATTATTCTATTGTATGATTCGTTATTATTCTATGTAATTATTTTCATGTTGATTATTATAATCCAAGCCTCTACTGCTGTGGCCATGCATGATCCTGATGTCTGCACGTAACTCTCCAGCTCTTATCACATTGTTCAATACTTTGAAATGTTGAATGATTTTGCAATATTCTCATCAAACAATACGATAAAAGCTTTACTTACTATATGGTCGTACAATGGAATGTTAGAAGGCTTTTTGGTTATCTAAATAATATAGAATTTACTTTATTGTATAAACTTTACCTTTGGATGCGTTTTTTTTTATTCAAAGTTCCTTGAGCCATCCTCATACATTTACCATATTGTTTAATGCTATGAGCACATTGCCAGATCTCGCTTTATGATTGCACCATGGAATTTTCGTTTTAGGATGGTTATCTAAATATTATAGAATTTTAAATATTTTATCATTAATTTTATTCTACAGGGCGCTTTTTTTAATTTTCAGCAACTGAATATACCTTTTATATACCTCCCTATCCCGCTTATGGTTTCAACCTTCGTGGTTGTAATCTTATGATGACATAAATGGCGATTTCTCACTCGCTAGCGGCCTGAAATTTATTCTTTGATGTGTTAACAGCATTGTAACTTGAATCTGTGTATTTTAAGTTAATTTCACTTTTATTACATAGTTGTTATATAGTTGTTTTCTCTTTTACATTTAGTTGTACATAGTTACATAGTTGCTATGCGTGCTATTGCTCATACGATGCTATTACAGGCTGGTCGAGCTGGGCGAGTTCGGGATGCGCCTGCAGTTGTACAGCCTCGACACCTCCATAGAGCTCCTCAAGGCGGACCTCATACAAGTGTACGAGTCTACTGATATTATATCGTCAATAAGTGCTTGTTTCAAGTTGCAATGTTGCCTATTATCAGCGGGAAAATTTGTTTACTAATTAAGCATGCACGATGTTTTTTTCTTGTGGACCTCATACAAGTGTGCGTATGAAATGTTCGCTGCAAGGCCAATCCTGCGAATCCCTTTAAGGCACTCCTTCTGCTATTTATTTGGCCAATTCTTCTGATGTCTGTTGCGCGATTTATTTTGATTCCTACAAATTCTTATCAAAATCTTTAGTACACTAAACGCTGTTGATCAACTTTTGCTTCGATCAGTGATCCAAAGTCAGGAAATGCGCCTCTAGAGGAGTTAATTACCCGTGGCCTTGTTTGTGCAGTCACTGCGAGGTGCTGTGCAGTCTGCGCGCGTGGTCGCACTGGCTGTCGCAGTTGTACGGCCAGCAGTTCGCCGAGTCCCGCTGCTCCTCTGAAGCTCCTTCCCTCTCACCGTCCTCGTCGGTGCCCTCGCCGCCCTCTGACTCCTGCGCGGGTAGGGCGGCCTACCACGTGACTTCTATGTCTGTTTCTTCTTGACTATATCCGCTTCTCGTGACGAAGTCTGCTTTTCGTGACAAATTCTGCTTCTGGTGACAAAGTCTGCTTTTCGTGACAAATTCTGCTTTTTTTGGAGAAAGTCTGCTTCTCGTGACAAAGTCTGCTTCTCGTGACAAAGTCTGCTTCTCGTGACAAAGTCTGCTTCTCGTGACAAAGTCTGCTTCTCGTGACAAAGTCTGCTTCTCGTTGCTTTTCGAGACAAAATCTGCTTCTCGTTACAAAATCTGCTTCTCGTGACAAAGTCTGTTTCTCGTTACAAAGTCTGCTTCTCGTGACAAAGTCTGCTTCTCGTGACAAAGTCTGCTTCTCGTGACAAAGTCTTCAAGGTTGTTCTTCTCCTCAACCAGCTCGATAAATTTCCCTCGAAATTTGGTTCTATTCTGAGATATTTTTTCGTATTAGTGTTATGACTGATAGGAAGGTAGATCGTTCATTGTTGTGTCCAATGCAAAATTTATTTCACTCGTGTTAAGTTAGCTTAATGTTCAGTGGTGATTGCCGCACAAATATGCATGACTGTAGTGCCTAAACATTTATATTGTATTTCTTGCTGTAAGACTGCAGAATTTAGGCGAGGTTCGAGCTAATCAGACGATTGGCTGGTGGTTGAGAACTGCATGAATACTATTCACACTAATGAGAATTACGTACTATTCACAATAATAAATTTTTTATGTGTAGGCATCGTTGCTTCTTTCTCTTCAAAGGAAAAACAGCTTGCTGACACCTCCGACATGATAAACATAGTTTTCGTGTAGGTGACGAAATTTCTGAACAATGCAAGTACTAGTCAATAGAGCAATAATTGTTTAAGAGAAGCGAATAAGCACGCGTTCAACAAGAATTTTTTTTTAGTGTTCTCAGGCTTGGAAGCTGTTGTATTCTAGAGCACCCTAGAGCTTGTTTTTGTGATCATAATTGAACTTATTATTCAAATTCAAAGTATAATACGGTATATGATTTCAGAAATTATTGTAAAATGTCGTTTAAGTCTACATCTCTGGCGCTGCTCATGTCATTAACGTATACCCCAGACAAAAGCAAGCCGAGCAACGGGTGTGGCGGCGTGTTGGTGTCATCTCACCCGCACCTCGAGACCTGCCACGAGCTCAACCGCCAGCTGCTGGTGCTCGCCGCGTCCGCCGTACACGGCGCCACCACTGACAACGTGAGCTTCGGCCTCCTGTAGCTGGCAGGGGCAGGCTTACGCTCGCTCTCTCAAAACTACCTCATGAACCTTTGAACATCATTAACATTATGATAGTTATTAACCTTATGAGCCTCATTAAGCTTTTGAGCCTCATGAACCTTTTGAACATCATTAACATTATGATAGTTATTAACCTTATGATCCTCATGAAACTTTTGAGCCTCATGAACCTTTTGAACATCATTAACCTCTTGAAGCTCATTAACACGTTGACTCCGATTGCATCATATTGTATTATTATATATTACTTAGGGATTTGCCACTAATCGGAAAAAAGGCTCTATTTATGAACGTTCTGGTTCTTGGTAATTTAATTATATTCTTTAACGTAGTTCGATTTCTCTAGTACTTTGGTAACATTAGTAAGGTTTTACTTCATATTAACGTTTCTTCATGATGTTCACGAATCAGAAAGGTTGTTTGTTGAGATATTTTGTGCAAGAAATGGATAGCCATAATAGTTGAGGATAATGAAACCTCTAATGTCAAGTTGAATGTATTGGGACAATGTAAGTGTATTCTGCATAATAATAATGATGGTGTGGTATGAGATGTGTATGGTGTGCTGCGTGTTACGAGTGTTCACGAGTGTTACGAGACATGTTCTATGTTCTGTTGCTGCGTGTTACGAGACGTGTTCTATGTTCTGTTGCTGCGTGTTACGAGACGTGTTCTATGTTCTGTTGCTGCGTGTTACGAGACATGTTCTATGTTCTGTTGCTGCGTGTTACGAGACATGTTCTATGTTCTGTTGCTGCGTGTTACATGACGTGTTCTATGTCCTGTTGCTGCGTGTTACGAGTGTTGCCGCGTGTTGCCACATGTTCCAAGTGTTCACTGTTCAGTAATGCAGCTGCCCCTCTTCAGGTGCCGTGGCTGGTGGTGCGGTGTGGAGTGCAGCTGCTGCTCACGGTCTCGCTGCTCGTGGTGAGCCCCGTGGCGCTGCAGGTGCAGCAGGTGCAGCTGCTCTACTCAGCACCTGTGTACTCGCACAGCACGCCACCTGGCAAGGTGTCTAGCATTCTACTTGCTTTTCTCTAAATTGCATTGCTTTTAAACGTGTATCATTCATGTTTAGAAAAATAAATATTTTTTTTTCAGAGATTTTTTCCGTGGCAAACGTCACGACGTGAGCAAATTAAATGTCTGAACTGGCATTCAATCTCATTGTTAGTGTGCACCGATCTATTTGCATTCTACGTTATTTTGTATCTCCCGTTTTACGGTTTTTCAGGCATTATGCCCCTATTTATCATTTACATTGCACTTTACATTATTCGTATGCCTGTAGGTGCGGGAGATGTTGTACCGCGCGCTGGTGAACTTCCTGCTGCTGCCGTGGCCTGCGTACAGCCTGCAGCAGCAGCAGCAGCCTGCAGACCACGTGCAGGACAGACCGCGTCTGCTGGCCTCCTTCATGCAGCTCATCACGCAGCCCCTAGCAGACCAAGACCCTCAGCTGCTGATGGCAGATCCTGCACTCAGGGAGAAAGGTGGGAATTGTGCTCTTACTAATGTATCATTAATATCCTTCTTGAAGTTTCATTAATTTATTAATTATTTTCCGTCATGATTGTGCGGTTTTAATGCTCCGTCACTAATGCTTTCTATTATTGATATTTTTTTAAATTCTATTTGTATTGATGTTATTTATATTTTATTGATGCTTTTTGTATAATGCTCCGCCCGTCAATGCTGTTTTTAACACTTTTTTAATGCTGTTCTTCATTACATTAATATCCCGTTATTTACATTCCGTAATAAATTCTGCTTTTGTCTTATAATGAATTATATTGTAAATAAAACGACTTTTCTATTTGCTTTGAGCTTAGTTGTGTAAAATTTAGCGCGGATTTGCTGTCAAAGATGTCTTTTAAAAATGAAGAGAATGTTATAGTCAACATGTAAATAAATTCACTAGTGTCGCCCTGTTGATCATGTGGGCCACATAAGCATGAAAACCATAAAGATCAATGAGATATTTAAGTGTGAAGCTCTCATGGTGTGAAAGACAAGTCTTTAAGCCGTGAATGCAACGAGAATGTCAGCTCCAGAATGTCTGTATCATGTGCAGCAAGCTCCAGAATGTGTGTATCATGAGCAGTCAGCTCCAGAATGTCTGTATCATGAGCAGTCAGCTCCAGAATGTATATGAACGCTCTTCCAGTGCCTTTTTTGAACGCATTTCTCTCGTTTAACATTTTGAATTCAATTCTGAGGTTTGTTTTCAATTTGTTTTTCCATTTCAATGTATTCAAATAAGTGTCCAGTTGGAGCCTCATCGCTAAAGGTACATCAGTTGTGCCTCTGTCATAAAATTCTAACTTGCCTCAATACATTTTAAAATAACAATTTACGTAAAGTTAGAATGTTCATTATCAGAAATTGAGAATTTCTGATAATAGTTGAATAATAATTATTGGAAATAATTTAATGATTGAAAATGATCAGAAATGTAAAAATTTCCAATAGCATTTGTGGATGTAATCACCACAAATGCCAGCTGCTATCGTTTTCATAACGCTCTTCTCGGCATTAACAATACAGTTTAGCAGGTCCCGAATTGTCATCCATGCACTGCACTAACGTCGCCACCTGGTCACTGTACTGGCAGGTGTGCTGCTGGAGATGGTGGGCACGGTGATGTGGAGTGTGGGTGTGGTGGGCGGGGTGGGCAGCAGCGAGGTGTGCTGCTGGGTAGAGCGACTCGTGCAGCTCGTGACGAGCGAGCAGCACCTCAGCCTCGCTCTTGCCAACGATCAGTCGCCCCAAGCCGCCGTTCTCGCCAGGTTATTTTATCAACTTAATCTTTTAACCTCCTTTTGTTTCATTAATAACGAGGTCATAAATATCGCCAGGTTACTTCATTAACTGAATCTTTTAACTTTCTTTCGTTTTATTAATAACGAGGTCATAAATATCGCCAGGTTACTTCATTAACTGAATCTTTTAACTTTCTTTCGTTTCATAATAACGGTGTCTTAAATCTCGCCAGGTATCTTCATTAACTTAATCTTTTAACTTGCTTATGTTTCATTAATAACGAGGTCATAAGTCTCGCCAGGTTACTTTATTATCTTAATCCATTAACTTGCTTTCGGTTCATTAAAATTTAGGGTTTCACGAATTTGTCAGCTAACCATTCAAGTTGTCAATGCAGCCAATTTTCACCGGTTCGGGTGTGAAAAGGAATAAAATTAGAGAAATTTCTTGGTAAATTTTGTGTCATGGCTCTTGACATTGCAAATTTTTTTAACATTGATGATATTCATTAAGGCCCTACACTAGTCTACCTTGAGTGTTTCTTTCATCATTTATCTAGAGATTCCTTGTATCATCATTGTAAACGAATCATATGAGGAATAATTTGCCTCTCGCCAGATTCCTGCAGTTGCTGTCGCTGGTTCTGAGTGATCCGAGCCCGGGCCTGAAGAGGCTGGTGGGCGTGGTGGTCGCCACGCTGGATGAGCTCTACCCGCAAGTCTCACAGCAACCCACCGCCGCCGCCATCAGACAGCCTCTCTTTGCCGTCCTCAGGACGCTCCTCGAACATAACTGGAAGTTTTTCTATAGGTCAGTTGCTCTGTCTAATGGGTTACACTCCTCGAACACAACTGGGAGTTTTTCTACAGGTCAGTTGCTCTGTCTAATGGGTTACACTCCTCGAACACAACTGGGAGTTTTTCTAGAGGTTTTCATTTACTCGGCCTGATGGGCAATTATTGAGCAGTCAACACTCAAGTTAACTTTAGCCTTGCCCTAATTTCTGGAGAGAGGTCCCTAAATAAAACCCGTGTCGAGATCGAACGTCGTAACACTTCAATTAATAATAGTATCTTTTACTTTATTGTCTGAAGACATGTCCTGAAATGTGATGCCCTGTGTGCAGGTCGACGGTGCAGCAGCCGCTGAGCCAGAGCGCGTGGGAGGAGGTGCAGCACGGGGAGCACCTCACGCGTATCCTGCAGGCGTTCGGGCAGTCCTTCATGCAGACCGACATCGCTGTCTTCAGACAGAACCTCTCCACACTCCAGCTCCTCAACGCCAAGTTCAGGCTCTACAGTAAGGTTGGTCATCGTAGTGAGGTGGGTCATCGCAGTGAGGTGGGTCATCGTAGTGAGGTCAGCCCTCCGTATAATGACCTTAATCACGTCAGCCGACACACGCGCTTCAATCACATTCTTTGTCATAAGAAAGACCGGAACAATGATTGTTCTTCTACCGGACCTGTTCATTCAGTCTCCTTTTGATTCTAATTAATTGTCGAAGTATGGTTATTCATTTCAAATATTAATAATCATTCCTTATTTGTATTAGCGGAATATTATAATGCAGACTAAGTATAAATTTTCTGAAGATTATTGATTAAGAAGGGAAATAAATTTGAATGTCACATTTTTCGTTGATAAAAAAAAAGAGACCAGTGTGGGAAATACGGAACTAAATGAGTTTTTTTTTTTTTTGCAGAATGTGTTTCGCCCTCTGCTGAGCCAGTTCATCACGGTCCTGCTGCAGGTGTTGCTGCACGGTTCACACGCTCTGCTCCAAGATGAGGTTCGTTGCACACATTTTTAGCGCATTTTCTTTTTATGTAAAAAATGCACTATTGTGCTCGCCATGTCCGTTTGTCCGTCCGTCTGTCCGTCCGTGACTTCACGTTTTCGTCGACGAGAAAATGCGTTCGCTGTCACTCACTGCAGTGAGTACTGAGTTATATTTTTTATATGTTTATCTCTCCATCGAGGAAGTAGAAAACAGCGACAATAAAATACCTACTAATTTGGACCAAGATTATTCGTAATAATTACGGTTGTTAATGAAAGCTTAATGTCTGGATCTGAAAAGCAACACGATGATCGATTATTATAAAATTATATTATAGTTTTTCCCTAAAGCAAATTTAAATAAACTTATAACTCCGGATAATATCGCAATAAAATTAATATATGACTGATTTAATCCCATTTTATTACTACGTTTTTCTTAGCTCGCTTTCGTGTCTGTGATGATCAAATCTTGCAATCGATATTTCACCAACTTTCCCATTAACTAGCGCTCTGAAACTTTTAGGGAAGCTCAGCTCCCGATAACAATACAATAATCAATAATTTGTTGCACGTTTCCAGGCGTATAAACTCTAAAGGAACTCACAAGCAGGGGTTGGAACCTTTAATGCACGTCATCCTCGAGAGGATATTCGTGTTTAGACTGCGTATATCGATGATACGCTTCGTATCATCGATACGTACATCAAGTCAAGTAAATTGGCTCGCAACAACGTGTTTCGTGTGTAGCAACGGACTAAAAATGAGAAAATAAAATACTTAAAAAACTAAAAAGTAGAAAATAAAATGTATAAAAAAAATTTTTAAAGACCACGTTTTTCATGTGGACTCAAAAGTAGAAAATAATTTTTCGGCAGCTACTGATCTCTGTTTGCTTTCATTCTCTTGGTCTTTTGTATTTCAGTTAAAATATTTTACATCTAAAACGAAAAACGTGGGGCGCATCTTCATTTAGGCATGCCTTAATTTCAATTTTGAATTCAACCACTATTTCTAATTATATCAGCAATACACTTATCAAATGTTCAATGAACCATCATATTCATCATATCAAGTAATCACCAAACAATTAAATACATATGCGCCCCACGTTTTTCGTTTTAGATGTTGTAAAATATTTTAACTGAAATACAAAAGACCAAGAGAATGAAAGCAAACAGAGATCAGTAGCTGCCGAAAAATTATTTTCTACTTTTGAGTCCACATGAAAAACGTGGTCTTTAAAAATTTTTTTTATACATTTTTTTTTTTAATTAAATAACTTGGGAACCGGAACTGCCTTTCCTATTCCTGAGTATTGCCTTATAATGTGTACGAATATTGTCAAGCTATGAAGCCTCGCCGAATAAAGGCGAGTTTCATATATTTTCAATTATCAGTTTCCAGTCACACTTTGATATTCGTCACTTTTTTTATCCTTGATAGACACAAGTTTTGGTTAGTCTTTTTTGAATGCTCAAAGTGTTAAATTAGGTGTAAAAGTGTCAAAACAATCCATGAAATGTTACAATGAACTTTGTATTGTATGAATATTGTACTTCGGCTCCAGTAATCAAATAATAATTTAGCTTAGGATAATTCAAATATTATATTAATTATCCTTTATAAAGAACGCAAGTAACTTAAAGCTTTGAGCAAAAAGCCATTCATTATTGAAGCCATTGTAAGCCTTATATATACTGTTTCTGGCTAACCGTATCCGAAATTATGGAGCGCGGTTCCCAATAATTGTAATTAACTCGCTCACTCTGGTGTTGTATGACCACACGCAAATATTCTTAATAATCTGAGTGCATTACGTGCTCAGTTGATGGGTACATAAGTTGTGTAGAGTTTCATGAAACCTGATGTTTCTGGCAGAGTTTTGTTTTTCTGAATCGTGCATGTTGACAATTCCCATAATCGCGTCGAGTTCTTTGGAAAAAACACGTGACATGCTAGCCAGCATGTGACATGTTAGCAAGCTTGTGACATGTTAGCAAGCTTGTGACATGTTAGCAAGCTTGTGACATGTTAGCAAGCTTGTGACATGTTAGCAAGCATGTGTGACATGCTAGCAAGCATGTGTGACGTGTTAGCAAGCATGTGTGACATGTTAGCAAGCATGTGTGACATGTTAGCAAGCATGTGACTTCATAGCTTCTCAATGTTTGTGTACTTCATAGCTTCTCAATGTTTGTGTACTTCATAGCTTCTCAATGTTTGTACGCTTCATAGCTATTTTTATAGATTCTGCTTTTGAATAGATTTTGAACTTTTGAACTGACGATGGAGCTGGACTCGGAAACGTTTTCATTCTTAAGAAATGGTTAATATTCTGGCTGTTTTCTTTGCTTTTAAATTCCTGATAGCTCTTCAATGTTTGTGCGCTTCAAGCTATTCATTGTTTGTGAGATTGGATATTTTGAACCTTTCTCATTAAACACATTTGCTTGATGTTCATTGATTAAAATTATAAATTTCTAGGTAATCCAACCTGAAGTTGGATCTTTCCCACTTGAATTTTGTTCACCGTACATACATCAATCTTACTAATAACTTGAATATTTCCTCTTTAGATGTCTTTTCTTAACAGGGATTGCGCTGAATAGTTCGTTGATGCTTTAACATCAAATTCTGTTGTTCAATCCCAGGATTTCCCGACGTTCAGCCAGAGTGTGCAGCGGCTGACGAACGACCTGCGCTACTACCGGACCGTCAACGACTCCCTTGCGACCTGAACGTCTGGCAGGGTTTTTAGCAGACAAGATTAAACCTTTTATTGCCTTCAATCCCGATCAACTTCCCCATGCAGCCGTCGATTAGTTACTTTCCATCTGATACAGAAATAAGTGCCATCATTTTAAAGACATTTTCAACGGAAAGAACTTCTCACGCATAATTGACGATATCCCGAATTTTCGTTCTTAGTTTAAATATAAAGTCTTTTTGGCTGTGTGTAAGATAATATACTAAGAAGAAGGTTCCTAGTAAGTATTTCACTTCGCGATACCTGAGTGAGAGGTTGGCGTTCTATTACGATTTACTTCTTGCCGTTTTAGAACGTTAGAGCGGGCTCCCTTTTCCTCCGTTTTCATCATATTCTGGTTTGTTTGTTTCTTCAATCACTTTCTTTACAAGCAACATTTTGTAAAAAAACGCGTCACATTTTGATGAAGAAAACGAGTTTGTTGCACTACAGATTCAATGCAGGGTATTCATGCCTACTTATTCACGATAAGCAAACGTCACGTCTTGTTTATGTTACGTTCTTTGACGAACGACGCGTCTTTCGCCTATGTTGGCACTGCTTTGAGCTAAGTTTTTTCTATACATAGAATTTTGTTACTACATTCAGGAAATAAACGCCAATATACAACATTTTGTCGTTACATTTAAGTCTTGATATATATGGTACATGTAGTGACATTTCGCATTCCTGGTTATTTTTTTAACAGTTTGTAGCACTTGCGAGATGCGCGCGACGTGGTATTTACAACATCATTCTTGTTGAACTTGATCATTACTTGACTGAGGGAACAGTGTTCAGGGATATGCGTGCTGTAAAGCTAATGGTGTTAGATGTGTAGTGATCCGCCTGGTGTATAATTGAACGTATTCGTATGTGTATTGGTTCGCATGGTGTATATGTGATCGTGTTCATTTGTGCAACGATTTGCAGGGTGAATATTTGATCGTGTTCAGATGTGCAGTGGTCCAGCTGTTGTATATTGATCATGTTAAGATTTATGTAGTGTCTATTTAATCGAGTTTACATGTGCAGTGATCCAGCTGGTGTATATTTGATCGGGTTTGTATATGTAGTGATTTGGCTGGTGTATGTTTGATCGTGTTAGTATGTGTAGTGATCTGCCTAGTTTATATTTGATCGTTTTCAGATTTGGCTGGTATATATTCAATCGTGTTTACATGTGTAGTGATTTGCCTGTTGTACATTAATCGGATTCAGATCTGCAGTGATCCAACTGTTGTACAGATCGGGTTAGTATATGTAATGATTTGACTGGTGTATATTTGACCGTGTTTTTATTTTTAGTGATCTGACTGGTGTAAATATAATTGTGTTTACACATGTAGTGATGTGATTGGTGTATATTTGATTGTGATCAGGTGTGTAGTAATTTGATTGAAGTACATTCGATCGTGTTCATATGTGTACTGATCCGCTTGGTGTACATTTAATCGTGTTTACATGGGCTGGCGGATATTTGATCGTGTTCTGATGTGAATGCTACCAGAGGTGTAGCATTCTCTTAGTTTTTGCGGCTTGTGGTGGAAGATAGCACTACAATTTGGCTGACCATTCTCGCCATATCTGGTGCTTAAAAACAGTCCATGAACGGCAGTAAATTTATTTTGAATTATTGTTTTAATATGGTACCAAGCCACGATGTCATCTCGATGCCGCCACACCTCCACGATGTTGCCGCGCCATCTAGAGTTACTGGTCTCTTTCATTCCACGAGTTGTACAAATTATGTATAATTAAATGCATTTGCTCTAGTATAAGATATCAACTAGGATAACAACAAATGTAAAAACGTACATACATTTCCATTTAATAAAACTTTGATATAAAATCCTGCAGTTTCCTCATCCAAATGTTTCCTAACTACAGGCTGTACAAATAGTATGTAAGAAAATAACAAATAATAACAGCCGCACGTAGAAAAGGAAACGTTGAAATAAACATTTTTCACTCGTGTAAGCCGGTTTTTCACTCGAGTCGTTACCGGTAAACGACTTTCACCTTCTCAATGCTTGTCATGACCGGCGACATAATGCAAATAACTACATACATTTTTGGTGCCTCATAACAACCGGTCATGAGCTGACCGTCTAAAATAATCATCACAAACTAGGTGGGTAATATTACTCGTCAAAAAATATATATGATAAAAAATTATTCATCACGTGAAAATTGATTGAATTACTTAACTTATTCGTGTAGACTCTAGGGGAAGAGAAGGGCTTTCGTCTGTGATTGAAGAGTTTAGCTTGAAAAGTTGTCAATGCATGGCTGACAGACTTACGAATTTGTTAGTATTTTTGACAGTATGGCCACTTTTCTTTGCCTGGGGGTTCCAGCCCAGGACCTGTCTAGCAGGGCCTCAGCAAAGGTCCATAGTATTAAGCCCCGCTGGCGCTTCTTTCCATCTTGGCAGATGAGAATCTGCCCTGTTCTCTTCCAGAGGCTTGCTGGCGTAAGAGATCCTCTCAGGCTCTCAATTATAGAAATGTGAAGTAGGAACCGATTGGCAGAAGTCTGGAGGTTGCCAGTGATGTTGTTGGTCACTTTCCTGGTACCCAATCTGTTTAAGAAAACTGCCTTCAATTTGTTAATAGAGAACCTTAGATTTTTCACTGTGAGAGCACAGCATTTATCCACATAGACCCCAGGGTGTTGAATGCGCGTCTGCACTTGTCCATTCGACTCTTCATGTCATCTGCTTCACTGTCTGTATAAAAGTTGCAGGGATATAAAATTCCCGGTTTGCTATTACCAGTAATTAAGAAGCAGTGATAGCATAGCGACGAAGATGAGATGGATGCGGAAAGAAGACGAGAACTGCAATAAACGACAACGATCACCCTTGTACGGGACATCTGCCGTCGCACGAGTGGGGAAACCTGTCAACAACCGAGGCACAGAGTAAGATGGTGGCGAAGATGGTTAATGGCCTGAATTGACAGAAAATTTTTAATTAGTTATGGTTCAAATGATTGATTTCAGAGGTCTGGATAAATACAATAATTTTATTAAATTATAAATAGCTCTATATTGCAGGACAAAAGAGTAAAATGATTAGATAAACCAAGTCAGTCCGTTCACCATTAGTCCTGGGTTAGAGCTAATTGTCGTCAACAAATCACCCAGTTTGTCAGTTGATTATTCAGTCGATTGACTAATATAGTGACTACTGAGGACTTATCCAAATACTATGGAAGTCAAAGTGCTACATTTGACCCAAGAACTCACCGTGCATGGAGAACTACGTATAATTCCATTGTCTTCAATTGACACAAATCAGAAAGTTGCCAAGTTTAGGATGAAGAGCCGCTGTTCTTCTTGCCGCACATACTTCAGGATTTTGTTCACGATGTCGATGGCAGACTGCTTCGTCGTCAGGGGCTCCATTATGGCGTACAGTTCAAACTCCGACGTTTCCTGGCGACAATCGATTCTATGAGTGATAAGTTAGTCTTCTAATGAGGGCTACAGGCACTTGAGATATGGAAAAATTTCAGATCAATTTTTTCTCACTATGCGATTAGTAAAACAGAAAATTTCATCAAAGAGTCTAGCTTAGAAAGGAAAATTTATAATGCTCAAGGATAAGAGACTAGTTTGTAACGAATGCGAGACACGATGTCACATCGCGGCAACGGTCCTGAATAGGAGAAATACCCAAGAATAGCTGCCCTCAGATGAGAGTTGTTTTCAGCTTTACGAGGAAGGAGATATCAGGTAAGGGAAAGCATGGTTGTATTTCAACATCGCATGTTGAATGTTGTGATTTTTCGAAACCTTCGAAAAATCCTGCATTTAATAGTTCGAGAACAAAACTGAAGTCTTGGAGTAGGGGAATTAATTTCAACGTGCAGTTAAAAATAAAATTAGGATAATTTTGGTTTGAGAAATTAGCGTGATGAGCAGTGATGAGGCTGACACTCACCCAGGCAATGGAGGCGTGGTCAGCAGCAGCAGCAGTGGTGAGGCTGACACTCACCCAGGCAATGGTGGCGTGGTCAGCAGCAGCAGCAGTGGTGAGGCTGACACTCACCCAGGCAATGGTGGCGTGGTCAGCAGCAGCAGCAGCAGTGGTGAGGCTGACACCTGTCTCTTATACACATCTAGATGTGTATAAGAGACAGGCATGTGACATGTCAGCAAGCATGTTACTTGTTAGCAAGCCTGTGACATGTTAGCAAGCCTGTGACATGTTAGCAAGCCTGTGACATGTTAGCAAGCATGTGACATGTTAGGAAGAAGCATGTGGCATGTTATCAAGCATGCAACATGCCATCTAATACGCATGTCTGAGCAGATTATCGCGTGTGTGTACCACATGGCGTCAGTGGACCTGGTCGCCTTCAACTCTCAGTTCCTGGAGAACTTCCTGCGCAACATCCACGCCCTCACTGACGACCAGCGCGCCGCCCTCAAGAGGGACTTCTCCGCTGACTCTGTGAGTCTTTCTTCAGTTTCTCATCTATCAATGTTTGTGCACATCATAGCTCCTCAATGTTTGTGCGCTTCCTATCTCTTCAATGTTTGTACGCTTCATAGCTTATCAATGTTTGTGTACTTCATAGCTCCTCAATGTTTGTGTACTTCATAGCTCCTCAATGTTTGTACGCTTGATAGCCTGTCTCTTATACACATCTAGATGTGTATAAGAGACAGATGGTACTCACACCAGCTGCAGCCTCATGGTACTCACACCAGCTGCAGCTCATGGTACTCACACCAGCTGCAGCAGAAGCTGTGTCATGCTGGCATCAGAGTCCACGACGGCTGCCAGGATGAGAGGCGAGCGCACCAGGAAGACAAACTTGTGGGTGCCTGCCTGCACGCAGTGAAGCACGTCGCCGTCATCGCTTACAATGGATACGAGCGCCTGCAGCAGCCCAAACAGAGTCACAAGACGGTCTTCAGCTCCGTACCTGAGCAGTTAAAGATTTTATTAGTCAACAATATCATAAGTAATTGCCTCCAAAACTCAATTAAATGGCCCCAAAACGTCTTCACATGTGTGTAAATTTCCTATTTAAAAAATGAGTTTGTCATGTAGAGATAATCAGAACAGAGATAGTAAAGTAAAAATAAACAGTATAAACAATTTACATTAATTGTTGTTTGGCAAGATACGGTAGCTTATCATGAATTTTGTAGAGCACACAGATTTCAGACATGTGTCTTCAATTATTCTTTGTCTTAGTCAAATCTTTCTTAAAGAATTTTTCCTTGAACATTTTATCCAGATAAGAAAGTAATATAGTCATAATTTCAGATAATTTTGTCAGAATTTGAAGTTTATTAAAAATTCTGATTTCTACTGTTGCTTAGGTGCAACAGTGATTCCTTGATGCATATTCAGATAGGACTGTTGGTCTTTTGGATGTCAATTTGATACCAAGTAAGCATGTTAGAAACTCATCAAAAAGTTCACAAATTAAATCATGTCATACAAATAAGCTGAGCTCAAGTCTTGAAATAATATTATGGAAATACAATCTGAATAATTAAACATCAGACTTCAATCATGTATTGAAGAAACTGATACACAACTCAAAATTAACCATATTTCATAAGGTTCAGGTTAAGACACCACAATAAAATGATGCAAACTATCAATGTAGGAAATAATAATCAATGCTCCAGCATGAGAATTGCTGCAGCCCTTCATGGTTGTACTCAATGATAAAAAAAATTAAAAAAAGCAAACAGAATGGACAGACAAACAATGTAGTTAAAAGAAATTAAGTGAAGCTGTAAATTTAGCAAATTAGCATTCATTTTGCTGATTATGTACAACTATGTTTATAAAATTATAAATTGGTAATATTGAATTTTCAACTCACCTGCTGTAAACTGGCTTGCCAGATTCACTGAGAATGAAAACATGTTTCTTCTTACCCAGCCAATCTAAGCTATTAAGCAAGTGTTCATTATTTTGGGCAACATCCGAACAATCCTTGAGTGATTCAAACTCTGAACTGCAACCAGATGCAGTTTCAACAGATTCAGCACATGCATCACTCATTCTATCCTATCATTTAATTTAATTCCTATATCACCTTGTGAACAATTTTAGGTATAAACATTGATAAGGACTTAGAATATTGTCTGTAATAGGAAGAGAAATGGTTGAACTACCATCTTGCCATAAGTCCTCTGACATCAAAGCTTCACTATGAATGTGATAGTATTCAAATCATCCTTTGTTATGGATGACACCTCCCACATTGTGATCTAATAAGGTTATAAATCCTTCTCTTCTCTTGAAAATTAAGCTGTACTCTGCCTTTGTACAGTCATTGTACATTGAGCAAGCCTCTTTATTTTTCCTATCAATGCTCCAAGACAAAAATATCAATGGTTAAATAAAAAATGAAAAAGTCAAACACCCAACAAGAACCATAGCAATGATGATTAAATATAGGTTTTCATTGAATTTGTTAGAGCAAATTAGGCTAATGCCTAATGAAGCTAACAATCATTAAGAAGAAGCTAATGGCTAACAAAAAACCAAGCTCAATCTTATCAATTGGAGCAGTAGGCTTCCTTAACCAAATCAATATATCTAAGTAATAATATCGACTAATAATATTGTGCACAAATTTTAAAACCTAGATTCAGCAACAATCATGGCCACTTCCACTCAGAAGGCACTATTAGTATTTAAAAGATGCTACTAGTATTCAGACAACTGCTTTTGCAAGTCACATACCGTAAAATGGGGTAACTTTGACCACTTTTTTTCAAAATGATGCCATTTTTTTACTAGATAAGTTAAACTTAAATTGAAACATGCAAAATACAGGTCTATACTCTAGCTTTACTCACCATAAATTGCTGGCTCCTGCCTCTCATAGTTTTGATGTAATTTCAAATAAAATGTATAAAAAAAATTTTTAAAGACCACGTTTTTCATGTGGACTCAAGAGTAGGAAATAATTTTTCGGCAGCTACTGATCTCTGTTTGCTTTCATTCCCTTGGTCTTTTGTATTTCAGTTAAAATATTTTACATCTAAAACGAAAAACGTGGGGCGCATATGTATTTAATTGTTTGGTGATTACTTGATATGATGAATATGATGGTTCACTGAACATTTGATAAGTGTATTGCTGATATAATTAGAAATAGTGGTTGAATTCAAAATTGAAATTAAGGCATGCCTAAATGAAGATGCGCCCCACGTTTTTTGTTTTAGATGTAAAATATTTTAACTGAAATACAAAAGACCAAGGGAATGAAAGCAAACAGAGATCAGTAGCTGCCGAAAAATTATTTTCTTTGAGTCCACATGAAAAACGTGGTCTTTAAAAATTTTTTTTATACATTTTATTTTCTACTTTTTAGTTTTTTAATTATTTTATTTTCTCATTTTTAGTCCGTTGCTACACACGAAACACGTTGTTGCGAGCCAATTTACTTGACTTGATGTTCGTATCGATGATACGAAGCGTATCATCGATATACGCAGTCTAAACACGAATATCCTCTCGAGGATGACGTGCATTAAAGGTTCCAACCCCTGCTTGTGAGTTCCTTTAGAGTTTATACGCCTGGAAACGTTCAACAAATTATTGATTATTGTATTGTTATCGGGAGCTGAGCTTCCCTAAAAGTTTCAGAGCGCTAGCTAGCGAGAAAGTTGGTGAAATATCGATTGCAAGATTTGATCATCACAGACACGAAAGCGAGCTAAGAAAAACGTAGTAAAAAAGTGATGGTCTTTGTTACCCCAGCTCTTGGGGTTTCTTTGACCTGGTGGTAAAATCAATTTTATTTTTTGGTAAAATAACTCCAAATAACTCCAGGTTGTGGTGCATTGTAGTAGAACTCTTCTAGTTACATATGCAAAAGAGAAATTTTAGGAAAGTGTCATAGTTTGCAAATGGGGGGCGCCACCCCCCAATGGGCGAAATGTGATCACCCAATGGCAGCCGTGACAGGGTAACATTGACCGGTTTGGAAATTAAGTTAAAATTACCATATATAAGACTCTGTAGAGTCTGAAACATAAAGAAAAAAACATTAATAGGTATATCAAACATAAAATATGTTATATAGGTACCTATGGTAATCTTAACTTAATTTCCAAGCCGGTCAATGTTACCCCGTCACGGCTGCCATTAGGTGGTAAAAGTTCCCCCATTGGGAAGCAGCACCCCCCATATGCAAACTATGACACTTTCCTAAAATTTGTCTTTTGCATATATAACTAGAAGAGTTCTACTACAATGCATCAAAACCTGGAGTTATTTTACCAAAAAATAAAAAAATTGGAGGGGGTACTCCGACAGGCTTTAAATAATAGCTCTTTTTCGTGGGTCACATTATCAATTTTTTAACCTATTAGATATGCAAACTTTTTAAATCTTTCTATTGTGTTACATAGCCTCAGTATTAGGCCTTCGATGGCCATTGACAAAATTTTTCTATGTCAAATTGTTTTTGAGTTTTGGGGGTTTTTGTTCAAAAAACAAAAAGTGGTCAAAGTTACCCCGCCGGTCAAAGTAACCCCATTTTACGGTAACACTTTCAAGCAGTTGACTTTGAAATTCACAGATTCCATACTTTTTCATTATTTAAAATTCGATTTTTACATTAGAAATGTTATATAAATATGAATAGCTTATTGCTTATTGATAAAACAAGTGTTAAATATCATTGCACATACCTATGTGTGTACTGTGCAGACAGATATCTGGTGAGATTACATAGCTTTTCTCATGTAGTGCATGCAGTACTAGTAATTTATGTACTGTATTATATGGCTGTACAGCCCCACATATGATCATCTATTCTAGGCATAATGGCATGTATATATAGAGAGCTTCACTCCATAAAATATCCACTTCAATTTTGGTTACCAAATGCCAAATACTTACTAATTAATTAGTATTATGAATATTACTAGGCCTTCTTACTTTCGCTGTAGTAAATAATTCCATGATCCACATTATTGAATAGGGTAAATGCGGTATATTCCGACATCATGGGTAATTCCGTCACCTCTCTAGTTTTTCCTTTATATTAAGCTTTGTTTTAGTTCCATGCGTTCGTTGATGGTTGAAATGGTGACGTATCACCCAGGCAATGGTGGCGTGGTCAGCAGCAGCAGCAGCAGTGGTGAGGCTGACACTCACCCAGGCAATGGTGGCGTGGTCAGCAGCAGCAGTGATAAGGCTGACACTCACCCAGGCAATGGTGGCGTGGTCAGCAGCTGAGCAGTAAAGCATTTTGAGCGGGCGCTCCTGACATCGCACGCGTTGCTGCAGTCGCTCGTACAGACGCACCGGCAGTGCACGCGTCTCCTCGGTGTGGTAACTACAAAACATGCCGAAATTAATGTGAAGATAATCATAAGTAAATGACTGTGAAGATTATTTGAAGAAATTAAATAAATAAAGAAATTAAATAAATAAATAATTAAATAAATACACACAAACAAACTACAGTACAGCGATGATATAGCTCAAGTAAATGTCACATTCAACTCCTGTAATTCGGAAGTTAATTCTTAACGTCCAAAAATTTAATTAGGTCAGATAAAAAACGAACGTGGGACAACAATTTGCTGGAGTAATACTGCTGAAAGTTGATATGCAGAAGAGGAAAAAAGAGAAATTCAACTTTATCTTCATAAAGATGATTTTCGATCAATATTGCATACGTATTTCCTAATCTCACACATAAACAATATTCGAAGTATGCAGTTAAAAACTTCATCAAATTTGTAATCTGAAAATGCACAAAAAAAATTTATTCATGAGCAAAACTCCTAGTTATTACTCCCCAATATTTGGTGAGCCTTCAGAGGAGGTCTAACCGTCTTCCACATTTCCACTAATGTTTTCTTTTCCACACTCAAAATGCTCTGATCCAAAATAAAAACGCACCTGAACAGTGAACACCGTCTAATTTTGTGGTTAACACATTAACCGCATCAATGCCTCAGTATTAATTACTACATAATTGGACACAAGATCTGCATTTAATGCGGTGACTGTAGCGATATCTTGGTCTGGTAGTCATGCATGCATTAATAGAACTATTTTTTTAGTCAGAACAGACAGAGGGGCAGTAATGGGTATAGTATAATACTATGCCAGGGCCCCGTTCTACATTAATAAACTAAATGTCAAGGCAGAAACTGACGGGGGGCAGTAAATGGGCGCAGTATACTGTGCCAGGGCCCTGTTCTACATAGGTAGACTCAAATATCAAGACAGAAACTGACGGGGGGCAGTAGATGGGCGCTGTATACTGTGCCATGGCCCTGTTCTACATTAATAAATTAAATGTCAAGGCAGAAACTGACTGGGGGCAGTAAATGGGCGCAGTATACTGTGCCAGGGCCCTGTTCTACATAGGTAGACTCAAATGTCAAGGCAGAAACTGACGGGGGACAGTAGATGGGCGCAGTATACTGTGCCAGGGCTCTGTTCTTGTAGACGAAGTGACGCAGTTCAGGGCAGCCCACTGTTGACACGGGGTAGCCTCCTGACACTGTAGCTGCCCCTCCGCTGCCCCGACACACCAGCTTGTCCAGCACGTGTTGCCGTCGCAGCTTCTGCAACACATGTGAAATTAGCATTAGAAATTGTGTTACATTATTTACCCTTTACTGCCGTGTTATGATGTACCTACCTTTGAGATGGGAACATCATTGCAAAATACAGAACAAAAATGACCAGTACTAACTGTAGTGTGCACTGTGCATAAGCACAGAACGACAGCTAAAAGTTTCACATAAGGACCAGAGTTATTTACAGAAGTACGAGTTACCTTGAACGTTTTTCAGAGATTACCAGGCACGTATAGAATAAAGAGATTTGAATCGCAGCTAAAACTCTAGCACCTTTTTCGGCATTCAGTTTTTCAAGCTAATAAAATAAACAATAGAAGATAAAAATTATGATTTTTACAGCAAAAACAGAGAACACGTTTCTGAAGATCTCGTTAGATTGAAATGCATTCAAGTTAAATTACACAGAATTGCAGCTAAGTACGTACAAACAACTATACCTGTTTATTACCCAACTAAATCACTGCAAAAATATTCAACACACGTGCAAGTATTGGTTAAAGTGCACGTAGCTGCTATTTCTAATCGATGATTGGTAGGTTAAACCCGAAAAGCCATTAAAGATTGGATCACAGAGTTACAAACTCGAATCTATTTTGATGGGATGGCCGCTGCACTGTACAAAATATCCTAAAACGTTTAGACAGTCGGACCTGACCTCCATGATATCCCATTCATTTGTAGTCTTCGAAATATACAAACAAGTTAATCGTGTTGAGGTCGGCTCTTACCTCCGTAATCTTCTGCTTGGCCTGTGAAAGCGTGTAGAAATGCTCCTTGTCGACGGTGAGCAGCAGCAGGCACGCGTCGCACACCTCCGACAAGTACGACACGTGTCCGTACAGGTAACCGCTGCACACAGTTTTTTGTCATCACAAAATGCTGTCATGTTAAACAGAATTTAGTGATTTGAGGTAAAATAACGTCTAATGATGCCTATTCAAATGGGGCTTAATGATGTCATGACTAGTAGAATTTAATGCAGTCATGTCAAATAGAATTTAGTGATGCCTTGTCAAATAGGGTTTAATGAAACCAAGTCAAGAAGACTTCAATGATACCTTTTAAAATATGGTTTAACAATGTTAAATCAAATGCAAATTTAACAATGCCAAATGCCAAATCACATTATCAGTCTCCTTTACTCTCATAAAACTGTAATCAAAGATAACTCGCAAAGCTTGACTTGAAAGACTTGTTACAGTTTTCACACTGTCTTCAGCTATTGTACACTAAGGTTCAAAGTTTTCTAATGCCGACCATAGCTATGCTTCCCACGCGAAGAACATAGAAGCAATTTCAAATGAAGAGCTTGACTAACTCGGGATTAATTACAAAAATATCATTGAAAGTATTTAAAAGAGAGAGCTAGACTAACTCGGGATCATTTATATGGTAGACCATTCAAAGATCTTTTTAAAGCAAGCTTGACTAACTCCGGATCATTTAGAAAAAATATCACTTAGAAGTTAAAGCTGGACTACTCGGGATCATTTAAATGCAAGCTCATTTAAAAGTAGGTATTTACTAACTCAGGATCGAACTGGGGCAGGCAGATGGGCATCCAGTTTTCAGAGGCCCTGAGGCTGTCGGAGGCGTGGACGAGGTTACAGAGAAGGTGGAGGTCTGCAGGGTGCAGCACCACAGTCTTCAGCCTCACCACACTCACCACCTGCAGTCCCGTCACCACCACCGCAAACACAAGATTCTGCGCCATATTTGAAAAGGCAATCAAATCTTTGTCAACATATTCGTACATAAAGGCATGGTAACAAAAGTAACCGTCAGCAGACAATGGGTTAACCTTTTCTCTGAGGGTACATCGTTCACTGTCTATGTTATTTCTACCTAACGGTATCGTAACCAGAGTAAGTGTCGCTATACTATAGGTTAAAAAAACTGTTGCAACCCATGCTCCAATATGTTTGTAACCATCAATCAGTTCGTTTTCTCGTTCGCAATGACGTTTCTTATTTTGAGTTGACCCAAAAAGCGAACACCACAAATTTGTTCTCGCAATATATTGTTGGTGGATGGCACTGGTGGAAAAATGTACGTATATACCTCACAAGTGGCACAATTCCTACGAGAAGAATATATTGATGCATACATACTCTGACATAGATGTGCCTCCTCTATTATACATGGTCCTAAATTCGACAAAGAATCCCTCTGACTAAAGATTCTCTAATCACCTTTATTTTGCTGCAGGCCTGTATCAGCGCTTGAGTTATCTCATTCCTGACGGCCTGTGGCAGAGGCAGGGTGTGGTAGGCGCCAAGCAACAGGCCAGGTTCTGTGTCCTGCAGGTGCAGCAGGCTGGTGATGAGCCTGTCGGTGCCCCCCAGCAGGTCGCGCAGGTCACAGTTGCGTCGTCGGCTATAGTGGCGCTGCAGGGCAGCCCGCGTGCTCACCGACTCCACGACGCTGTTCACGTAACTGTACGAGTTTAGGGTAAAGTTAAGATGATCAAGTCACATAGGGCATAGAAATATCAAAATGAAATTGCTTTTTCAACATGTTTGGTGCACAGGTCAGTGAATTGAAATAAAAATATTTTTTCATCTTTCTTGCGAGTTGGAATATGGGACATGACTGTAGTGTAAAACAGGTGCGACACTGCAGGGTTCCACCAGGGTTCAGGCGTGACAAGGTGGAGGAATTTAGGAGATGATAAGTGAAACAAAACACCAGAATAATGAAATAAATACATAGTACTTTATCACATGTTTTGTGGGTCTCATTTATTTGTCAGCCCATGAGGAATTGCTAGATTTTGTACTTTGCCCGAACGGCCAAGCAATGAGAAGCAACTTGCGTTAAAGTATTGTGTCTATAGAGCGCTGTTTTTAAATTAGGAGTGCTTCATGGGGTGGACTGGACGGTGATTGTGGAGAAATACTGAATGGTGAATGTGGGAATATAAAGAAAAGTGATTGTAGGGATATACTGAATGGTGATTGAAGGGATATGTTCAATGGTAATTGTGGAGATATACCTACTACTGAATGGTGATCATGGGAAACACTACAGCTATTATTGGTTACACTATAGAACGTTTGTGCGAAAACCTGCAAATTTAGAAACACAAGGAAAAGGTATGCTGCATAATGCAAAATGTTGGTGCTATACATACTTCCATAAAATTTTGAACAAAAAAGAAAAACATTATAAATCCAAATGACATAAGCAACTTCATCCGAACTGTAATATTCAGATGCTCACACCAGCTGCAGCCTCATGGTACTCACACCAGCTGCAGCCTCATTGTACTCACACCAGCTGCAGCTCATGGTACTCACACCAGCTGCAGCTCATTAATTTGAAGCGCTGACGCAATACGACTCACCACGTGTCGAATATTGCCACACACAGTGACGGAATACAGGGATTTGGTAGGTTTCCATTCTAAAGGCGTTTTAATAAATATGGCAACATTTTGTGATGTTTCATCGTTGCTGACGCGTAGTCCGGTATTTTGTAAGTCACGTCAAGCCAACAGAAGTTACCGCGTTTACCATAGCTATAAATAATTGTGACAATCCAAAATGATGTGGAATTGACAAAAACAACCAATATACCAAAATCTTCATATCAACATACTGAAGTTTAAATTATGGTTTTCCCTTTCTTATCAAATTTTTAGGTAATTTTTATGGCTAAACCTGTCTATCTGATATTTACTTGCTGGATTGGAATTTTCTTACTTAGGAGTGAAAGATCATGGCTCCAAGAAGACTAATCTTAAATACATTAGGAATGTAATGGCCTGATTGTGCACTTTCATTAAAAAGTCCTACTTTTTTCTGCAATATTGTGACTTGACTAATATAATATAATATCAGCAAGTAAAGAATCTTGCAGCTGTAATGTAATGTATTTTTGTTTGATTGATAGCCAAAGCAAAGCCATAGCCTTGGAGCAACCAAAAACTACTGCTGTTCTCTAACCCCAGCTGGCAGATCCTCATTGGGTTTGGATGGAAAACCTGTGTACAAAGATCATGAATATAAGCCTAATAAGGGAGGAGACAGTCAGTCAGTCATTTTAGCTTCTTCCATTCAGACTTGAGGCGTTAGTCACAGACAGAATAATGACCTATACGTACCATCTTTGGAAATCAGTGGATACTGAATAAAAATGGTGATATAATAGCCAGCAAAAATATGGATCAATGAATGAAATGATAATATAAAAGCTAAAGGAATGCACCAGCAACTAGCAAGGTGCCTCCAGTAGGCAGTAGTCGCAAAAAGGCAATGCAACACGCAACAGCAGAATCTTATTGATATTATCCCATATCATATTCTTTTTATATTTTGTCTTTACTTTAATTACATCTGCCACAATCTGCATACATAAATACTTCTGTGTACATTCTGGTTTGATAAAGAGATGATTATTTTCAGACGTTGTCCTGGGCTTTAGCTGCTTTCCTTTGGCATGGAAATTCTACTAGCTTACACTTACAAGTTACACACACTGACAAACCCACCAGCCAGCATTAGGCCAGTCACCAGGGCCCCAGGGGGAATGAACGATGAAAGTAACTTATAGCTGGCGGTCTCTTATCACCAGGGCCAGCAACTCACCAACTCAGTGTAATCTTTGAGCATATGTAGGTATAACGTATAAGAGCATTGAATGAGAATTGCTGCCTTTGGCTCCTGTTGTCATTTCTGCCTAATGCCCATTGCCCAAAATGTCTACCTATAACAAAAAGTGTTGATTGTGTAAAACTTGGTTTACTCATTACAGTTGACTGAGTTCAGTGAGTTGAGTACAGTGACTCATAGTGGCAATCGAGAACATATTTTTTCCTAGGGTAAACATACAATTTCTGAACGCAAATTAAGCATATGCATTGCATCACAATTTTATGAACGCCGATGGTAGACAGTCAAAATATAACTCAGTTTACAAATAAATTTACATTTTAAAAAATTAGTTTTTACATATCTCTGTCTCCAATGTTAGTAGGTTGACTAGGTTCTGCTCTGCTGAGAGGACAATGCAAGTTTGGTACTGGTAGCGCAGGCATTGACAACCACACGTGGCGCCAGTTCACATACGTCTGGCAACAACAACACTCGTTCAAAACTTCACGTTCAAAGATCAGATTTAGAAGTTGAGTTCGTTCAATGCTTTCGAAAAAGATGCTCTAGTTTGTCATAGCGGAGAGCCGAAGACGTTCATTCCTTTCTAATCCGCATCCGCTCTACTCTGGATTTGGTTTTCAGTTCAATTCCTAATTTAGAGCAAACTCTTTGTTGAGGGATTTGTTTGCAATTGACATATTGATTCGACACCGTGTATGATATTTTTAAACAAATTTACAGAACTAAGTTTCATAGCACTTTTTCCATGCATAAGTTTATAGAAACCAAAACTGAGTGATATTTACCAAATTAAAAACGAAACTATTCACTCACAATGCCCTCGTGCGAGCATGACCAGGTATTTCTGTTTCTACTTTAATTTTAATAAATGTGCTGAATGATGATTTTTTGCACTTTTTCCCGCTAAGATCTTCAAATCTGAATCGATCTTGACATAAGTAAATACGTATCTATTTATTGACAATATCCTACTGTATGCACTGGAAGACTTTTTATTGTCATGCCAGATTTTTTCATGAAACTTGGCACGTATAACTATTTAATATCCAAACCAATTATGACCTAATTAATAATGAAGATGTTTATTTACAATACGCTGTTACAAGCGTTGTAAGAATTTACTTTTAATTTTGTGTCAGCTTCATTTTCGCATGTGTATATATATATATATTGTTGAACTTTATAAGGTTGACCCACAAGGATTTCTGTCTTTCAGTTCAACTTTATTACTGTGTCACGTAGATTGAGATACGTAAACAATGATGGATTTGTTTGATTGCATTTTGGTGATTGGTTAATGCCTGTGACGTCACCGAGATCAGTGACATAACAGGCGAACAACAAACTAAATATATATACCTATTGGACACATTGACAGTATGACAACGTGTAGCAATATGCAAGGCTAAAGTTTGCTACGTGTAATGCTAATGTGTGCTATTGTGCTCTGGTAATGTACACTAACTTGCTCTGCTAATGTGAGATAACGCGCTATGCTAACGTATGTTATGGTAATGTGCCCTACCTACTAATGCATGTTATGATAATGCGCTCTGCTGATGTATGTTATAGTAATGTGCTCTGCTAACACCTGCTACAATGTCTGAGGTAAGTTAATCTAATTGACTATAGTATGCAAAGATACGCTATTCAAATGTTTAATAGGAATTTTAATTTGTCTTTTCTGAAATGATACGAATCATTTTCAATAATGATAGCAGATACGACAATGTCAGTACAGGAGCTGCATTCTTGGTATATGGTATTTGATAATTTCAACGGGATTCTCTAATATAATGGATTACCAATCCCAGCAACACCAAGCAGGGATGCATGTTGCCATAACAAAAGGTTTCTTAGACTTTATTCGAAAGCAGGAAGGGGTTTGTAATTTCTTAGAATAACCTTAATGATAGAGGTAAAAATAAAACGACAAACTTTATACGTTTATTGTAATGGAGTTAAATCTAAAATGGACACATGGGAGTGTATATATGTATATTTATCATAAAATTACTGATACTAAATCACATATTCTACAAATAATATCTACCTATAGAGGAACCTCATGTCTCAAAAATACAGTCCCAAATAATTATTGTTAAATTTTTATCAAATTATGATTCTTCTCTGCTTTTTTGTAATCATTTTATGCTCAAAATTGGTTTTCAAAGAAACTAAGGTGCTCGCTCTCACTTACGTCTCGGACATTGTCCGAGACGTCTCTCACTTACGTCTCGGACATTGTCCGAGACGTCTCTCACTTGATGTAAATATAAAAAGGCCTGAACAATTTCATAGACATTCATTTAACAATATCTTCGATATCAGTTATGAACTTTCAAGACGCCAAAGATTACAGCAACCAATCTAAATGAGCTGTGCCATGGTTTGCATATCATTAGTCTTTTGTTTCCGTAAGTTATGTATGACCATGATAGCAAATTTGACCTCAACTAAATGAGTGTCAATTTTGTAAGTAATATAGTAAGCTATTTTATAATTAACAAGCCGCTATCTAGTTTATAGTTTAGACAAAATTTATAAGGTTGTCTGTAAAAAATGTCTTGTAATCTGAAAATAATTGCTAAAATTTGAATTAACCAAAATTTGAACAAACTCGTTTACCTTATTCTAGTGACTGAATCCCAATCTAACATGTAACAGCTGGTATTCCTTGGAAGTTGGAACGAGGGTGTTGTTTACTTCTTGATCTCGTTGTGGCAACAGCAATCGGAAGCCATTGCGGTTACCATTGTGAACCTGTGATACAAAACATTAATCAAATCAAAAGTAGAACATTCAAACATAACAAACTTT